ATTTTTAATGATGGACAGAGTGGCAAGCTGAGGCTTCCATAAAAGGCCCTGGTAATGCCCCCTGTTGCAGTGAGGAATTTCACTCTCAGAGCCCTCCAGGTCCTTACCATTCTGGAGCATTTCATCAGCCATGGTGGACACAGATGTTCATTTCAATATAAGGAATGTTCATTGAGCTATAAAGAATCTGCACCACATATTTTACATAGATCATTCACAAGTGCAAGCAAAGGTGTTCCCCGTGGGGGATTAAGGCTCACTGGTGTCCTAGGCACTAACAAATCTTGGTGCCCTTCCTTTGTACCTACTGTATACTGTACAGGGTTTTCTACTTTCTTTATCCACTTGGCCAGTGGGTGGCCAGTTTCCACCTGCTGCCATAAGCATTTGCTTAGTGTGTTTAATGGTTAATCAAGGATAGATGCACACCTTCATCATATCCTTGCCATAGAACATGCACAAGTGCAACCAGTGCTGTTTCTGTCACATAACTGATACTGAAATCTGACTGGAAAGAATCCATTTCATCCAGAATCCTCTAAAGTTCCCAAACGTTCCCCCTTCTATGCCATCACCCCTAAAAAGGAAAATGGGAGACTGTGGGATTGAAATATATTTTTAAGTGGTGGCAAACCAAGGCTTCCTTAAAATATCCTGGAATTGCTCCCTGTTGCAGTGAGGTATTTCACTTTTTGAGACCTCCATATCCTTTCCATCCTGGAGCATTTCATCAGCCATGGGCATTGTGGACAAGGATCTTCATTTCAATATAAAGAATATTCATTTATCTATAAAGAATCTGTACCATATATTTCACATAGATCATCCACAAGTGTAACCAATGCTATTTCTATCACATAACTGCGACTCTAACCTTACTGGAAGGAATCTGTTTCATCCAGAATCCTCTAAAGTTCACAAATATTCTACCTTTTATTCCACTGTCCCTAAAAAATGAAGATGCGAGAAAGTGAGATTGAGGAGTTGTGAATCAGGAGAAGCCACAGACTGAGCACCAGAGTAATCCAACCCCATCCAGAATAAAAGATGTTAAAAGTCCTGGAGCTGGAGGATCTATGGACCAAAGCCACTTGGTCTTACCAGAGTTCAGCTGAACTCCTATCAACCTCCAGGCATTCTCGGTGGCTGGCAGTACCACTTGGATCACCAGGACTTTTGATGTAAATCTGATTATTATCAGGATATTACAGGCACCCCATTCCATCATGGTGGGAAATGATTTTGCCTGGGAAAAATGTAGATGCTCAGAAAGTGTGGAAGAGTGTCCTGAGCCCTTTGGCACACCCTCAAAGGAGAGTCCATGGACTAAATCTCACTTCCTATTCTGATTGGTGACATTACAGTGCTACCCAGCTTAAAAGTTTGCATCTGATGGTTCATGGTATCTGAAGCCACTAAGAAGTTGATGAGATCAAGGAGGCCTATCCCCATCCTTCCTTTGCCATAGATCTTCCAGAAGTGTGAACAATGCTGTTTATGTTCCATAATTGGGCCTGAAACCGGCCTGGAAGGTATCTGTTTCATCCAGAATCCTCTTGAAGTTTCCAAACATATCATCATCTTTAAAAGAGAAGGTGAAAGATGGGACAAATGCATTCCAGACAGGTGGACTGACATATTTTTTTTTAAAAAAGAAGAGAACAAACTAATTTGTGACCCATACTGAGGAAGTTATGAGTGATGGTGGTTTGAATAGGCTTGTCCAGTTTTGATTTACTCCTAACGTGAGCACAAGATGAAAAAGAATATTGATAGTTTAATATGATATGTGACATAGCTTCAGGTATTTTTCTGAGCCAATAATGTCTCTTTAACTGAGTTCATACATCCAAGACATAACTTGTTTTAATTAGAATGTTGAATTAGTCAGAGTGACTGGCTATACATAAATCAGTCAAATTCCAGATAACTATGATTTAGTTTGATGTGTGAACCTAGCCTTGAACTTACTTAAGTTAGTTAGGACTAAAGTTTACAAATGAAATTGTGGGCATCTAAAGGCAGCAGCATTCTTCAGACTAGCAAATGTGCTGGACCAATTCCAGTAATTGGTAGATAGAGGCTGTTCCTGTTTTAGGGCCAAGAATGAGATTAAGAAAATACTACCATCTTTTCCTTTAAACTCCTCCAAAAGACACTGATATTTAGAGACTCAATGTCTGCACTTGCTTGTCAGTTTTCCAGGATAGTGGCTTCTAACGCAAAGTCCTTCCACTATGAATATCTGCAAAATTCAGTTCCAAATACCTAGTTACAAACTATCACTCTTCAGTATTAGAAAGGATAGAACATCTTGAGAAGATGGCAACATGTATTTGATGGAAAGGTAAACTATAACATCCCATTTTAAAGCTATTATTTAAAATAATGGTAGACTTACTGTAAGGATGCCATGCCATAAACCCACATCTTTTTTGAAATCCAGAACATTCACAATTGTTTCAGCTTCATGACAAAAACAAACAAAAAACAAAGTAAGTTCCTGGATGCCAATCAAAGTTCCATCTTAAAATGTAATTGATTCATTTTTTTAAAAAAAGAAAATAACTTCGGGACAATTTGAAGTTTGACTCATTGCGTTTGACCTATCTGGCCCTTCATTTCTGTTTCTTCTTTGTCATTTGCATAATATGTCAGAGTGATTTATTCTCCTGAAAATAGGTGGGAAATGTTGAAAATGAGAGCAGGAAGTTCATAATTTCCAAAAATAATGACTGTTCCACCTATAGAGATTTTTTCAAGACATTTAGGTAATACAGATCTCAGAAACTTGAGAAGTTCATATTAATTAGAGATGAAAATTACAACTCTGAAGTTGTTCTTCATCATGGATGAGAGTCTATAGTTTGGGAAAATCGCATCCCACAGCTTTCTATCTGATATAAACTTTTGGAGGTTTTGATCTCAGCTGAATATCTGAATCCAGCTCCTCTTTTTATTAATCATGGTTGTGTTTTTGCAGCATGACGGGCTGCATATCCAGCCTGAAATGGGCCTAGTAATTGCACAAAAGGGGACGAGCTGTATCATACTTATGTTTCATTTTCTGGGTTGATGACATGGAGACAGTGGATTTTCTTTCTAAGGAATGACATGAGCTTTTAAACTATTTTACACTTTGCACTACAATTTCTCTGTTGTTCACACTTGCAGCAAGAGGATGCTTCAAATACTGCAAAAAAGGAGCAGTTGTTTCTGAAGAAATTACTGTAACAAATACAGTTTTGTCCAAGGACTCTACAATTTTGGGAAGATTCAAAAATTAGTTTGGTTAAGTAATAATCTGTATTGCTTTCCAATTTTGGGGAAAAACAGCCTAGCTCCTGGCTATCGAATAATTGTCCCCATCCAATTAATTTAAAACAAAACTCAGTAAAATCTATCATGCTAAATCATTTTCTGAAGCTAGTTTACTTGTTTCTTTGTTTTTAAAAAAAGAGTTGAAATACCTTCTGTGTATCCACAAGCTTGGGTGAGTGCTTGACAATGAGTTAGCAATGCAATCCTTGTCACCGTCACTCCTAGAACACTTCCATCTTTGCAGGTTTTGTACTGTAGTAACAGAATTTTGCTCATCAGGGTCAGGGAATAACAACATACTTGTTAGTTTAATAAACTAAAGGACACAGACTCCTGTCTTTGCAAAATGCTCCATTGACTCTTCAAACCCCCCCCAAATACAAGAAGTTCTTGAATTATGATCATAAGGGAGCCTGCTCTTACTCATGATGGTTGTAGTCTTGTGATGGTTGTAAATTGTGTAAATTTCTTGCTGTGTATCTCAGAAGCGTACTGATGTCTGCCATTCCATATTCATTAACCAAAGCTATGTTTTATTCAATAACCAAGTTCCCATTATTACAGAGCCAGTTTCCTGTTTCTTTCCATTCATATCATCCTGCTAATTGTCTATACACCTTATTTTCAATTATCCTAGCTCCCTAAAGATCCAGACTAAGCAGTTTAGGGAAGGGGGGAAGACCCCACTCTCATATCGATACTTAGTTTGCCTTAATGGTTGAACAATCTTATTGAGGCTCCATGATCTCTACAGAAATCCAAATTAAAGTATCTCCATTAGAAAGCTGCCTAGTTTTTGCTTGAACTCATCCAATGAAAGGCAGCCTATTTCTTCCCCAGGAAACAATTTCATTATCAAAGCTTATTGGCATTAAAAAGCTTTTCCTAATCGGTTCCAGATTCTGCATTATGACCAAATGTGCAGCCTACTATTGGGTGACACCCCTTTAAATATTTCCGAAGTCCTTTCCTCTGAATTCTCTTGCAGCCTCTATCTCTCAAGTGAAATCTTCTCTGCTGCCTATTTTGAGCCTCTTTTGATTTTCTTCAAATTGGCTATCACTCTTAAAATGGAGATTGACCAGCACAAACTAAACCTGAACTATGGCCCTTCATGACTGCAAATGATTCTGAAAGGTGCAATCTAAAATTGCACTATAGCGATGAGGCTCTTCAGATTCAAAAGGAGAAAAGGGGGCTTGGAAGCACATGGGGCCCTTCACGTAGCTCCTCTGGCCAACCCCTAAAAGCACCATATAAGCTTTTGCCAGCTTAATCTAGGATTTAATACTATGCATTTATTTCCTCTGCTATTTCCTATGCATTTAGTTCCTCTGCTTAAACCTTTGAAATAGAGGTGAACTAGAAGTCCATGTAAGCTAACAATATATTTTGGAAGCAAATGTCTTTGTTTTGTTTCTGTGGAATAGTGAACCATCAATATGTGCTAAAAGTAGAGTTGAATAATAAGGTCCCCCTGGTTTCTAAAAAGAACATCTGTCAGGAGTTGTCAAACTGTCTAATGAGAAAACGTAGTTCCATGTTTCTATCCCTTCCCTGTAAAAGTCTGCTGAGTGCTACTATTTCTGCTCCTGCATCCGTTATCCTGATATTTAATTCATGAAAAATATTATGAAGTATTCAGTTTCCTTCCTTGTTTATTTAAAGCACTTCTATTGCATCTATCTTTTACAGAATTTTGCACATGGCATTGTACTCTGGAACTTTTCAAATGAGCTTTTATTGAGAAGTTTCCACTGCTGTTTTTAGAAAACTTCTGATACAATAGACTTTGATTCAGTTAGCTTCAGATATAGCAGACAAAATCTATCTCATTGGTCTATACAAGCCATTCTTTTTTAAGGGATACCCCTTCTCCTAAGTTCTTAAAGCAAAGACTTATTGTATCATCTACAAACATAACAAGTTCAAACATGTAGCCACTAAAATGGCTATCCATTTTGCTGTTCAAAGATTGGGGGGGGGGGGATATCCTATATAAATTTAGCTGAATTGAGATATCAAGCTTTTAAAAATTTCCCTAACAATATTATACAAGTGTGGTTTGCTATAGTTGCATAGGACTGGAACTGTCTTGCATAGGACTGGAACTATGTCCAGTCTAGTTTCTAATATCTAATTTCATATATGTCTTACTATTTAATGAGTACATTGCAATATATTTACTTAAAACATTTAATCCACTATTAATCTGGACCCAGGTAATAGATAGAAATAATCCACATAGGAACATGAATGAACAAATATACTATGCATGCTGCACTCACCTCAATGTAAGCTGTGTCATTGTTTGCATCTTTGATGTGGGGGAACCAGTCTCGAGGAGGTTTCGAAAGGTGTTTTGATTCTGTCACAAACCACAGCAGCTTTGGCCAGCCTTAGAAACAAACATAGAGCAACTTTTTAAAAATAACAGAAGCCATCATGCAATACTGTGGTCAACATTTTTTAAAAAATAAAAATGACCTTTGGAAAGTGTTCTTCAGCAACTTGGAGGTAACACAGATGATCAGCAAATGCTGGAATCATTAGTTACAAAAACAAATTCTTGTTGAGCATCCTCAGCCTGAGAATTGGCCCCAGTTTCAAATAGGCACTGGAGGTGTTGGACTACACTGCCCATTGCTGGAGCCTCTCTCCCTCTCCCTACGCCTGGTTGCCAAGCACCTGGCATGCCACCACCTCCCTTTCAGAAGCTTTGAAATGTATTGAGAGTGATAAGAGTGAAAGGAGGCAATATAAATGCTTTTTTCTTCTTTTTATTTTACATGCACCCTCCCATGGCATACCTAGGACAAAATATAGAAGGGAATGATTTGTAGCAAATTTTATTTTGCAAATGATAGGATTTTTATTACTCCAGAACCTAAGATAGTTTGGAAGACAAGATATATTGTTCTACTGATCAGTTGGAAGAAAGGCTTTGGATTTCAAGGTCTGTAGAAGACAGGATGACTGTGGGTTGGCCTCAGTGAACTATCCCATTTAACCTCACCCTGCTGGTGTTCAGTTGGGCACTTCTCAATGGTCCTGAGATGACAATTGTTCCCAACTACAACAACCACTGGGTTAGAACAGGCAAGATAGATGGAACTGATCTGAAAATTACATGGATTTGGAAGATATAAATTCAGACATCTTTTGCATCTTTTAATTAATTAGTACCATTCTCTACTTTTGCTCATCATTGGGACATGAAATCACATGGTATCAAGTTAACCCTGCACAAACTTACCTTTAAATTGGGGTATCTCCCCTGTAGGACTTTTAGGTAGCCCTTTATGGCATGCATCACTAGTCAAGGCTACAGTGACACCACAGCTTCCAAGCAAGAAGCCGATCTGTTGGCTACCTGCATCCTAGTTGAAGAAAAAGCAAGGGAGAAAAAGCTTCTAAGTTGAATCAATGCAAAAGCAGTAACGAAATCTTTCCTTTAAAAATATGTCTGAGCTATTAACATTTGCTTTACTTCATCAACTAACTTTTAAAAAAAGACATCTATTATGTTTTGATCAAGGTCCTTGGCTTTCAACGCTTCAGTGCTTTTTGTAAGAACATTTTTGATAAAATATTTAATACAGAGAATTGTATTTTTCTTTAAAAAGCAAAAATCAGGTCATGAAAGACCCCAACTTTTCCAATCTTTGAAACTACAACTTGACATTTGGGGCACAATTTATGACAGGGAGAAGAAAAGCAGAATAAAAACCAAATACGGGCACAAAGCAATCCATTAACTAAATAGGCAGATCTTTTTATTTATCTATAAAAAGCAAGTATTAGATTTCAACCCAGGAATAGCATTGGACTGCATTAACTGGGAGTATAATCTATTGCTTATAGGATATGGTGGTAACTTCTGAATTAGATAATCCAAAGGACAAGAGAAAAATAAGTTTGTGGGAAAGAGATCTAATAGTTCAGCAAATTATGTCTAAAAATAAAAGGAGGGGCATGCAACACCTGTTATTTGAATTGCCTTCCAGATATCCTGGGCTGACCATTATTGGACACCAATGTTTTAGAACGGTTTGACTCTGTGACAATGTCTGCATCTTACTGAATCATAAACTATTGTATTGGCCGGATTCATACCATACATTAAGCCACAAACTGCCCAATATTTAACATCAACACATTGCCTTGTCTCACCATTTTCACTTACAAAGGCCTTTAGAATTTGGATTATCCCAACAGAAGTAGGGGATACTTGAATTCTGTGAAACCCCAAGCAAAAAAATCAACAAACTTACAGCAACCATAGCATTTTTAAAAATTCATTTCTTTCTATTTTTTCTTCTTCTCACTGAAGTTAACACATAATTTTATAGTTTGGAAAACTCTAGTTGGAAAAAGCAATGACCCTATATCAACAGTATTCGGTTTCTGTGTTTCAATTTGGCCAAGTCATAGGTACTCAAGAAGATACAACAGTTCAAAATATACAGATAAAATCCATCACTATACCCCAGTATCTGTTCAAGATGCACCATACAATAGCCAGACACCACATTTTTCAAAACAGAATAGATAATAGCAAGACTTTCATTGCATTACAAAGACATTAGGCACTGGAAATCTGAAGCAAACAAAAAGCAGAAATTGAGGTTTTGTGACTATTGAGATAGTAAAAGAATGGTCTTAAGATATAGATCTGTTTTGTTCAACAACTCAAGTTCGTTTTTGTTTTTTAATGTATACTTAAAAGTTGTTAAAAAGCTATCTGTTCTAAGGGAAAGACATGCATTATAATGTCCCCCACATTCAGAGCCTAGCATCAACCTCTTTGTAGTCAGATTTTTAAAAATAGTATTTAATTACACAGTTGGGTTTGTATATGCTGATTTAAATATATATATATATATATTGAGATGAGAAACTGGTTTATGACAGATTTGTATAATCATTTCAAAGTTCAGGCACCCAACAAATTCTCAATTATATTTGCATTTTCTAATGATTAAAGTAATTATGAGATATGTATTTCCAGCTTGGCAAAGTTAAAGACATACTTTTGCAAGAAAAGTCTTCAGAAATGAGCTCTCATTTGGTTTGGCTTCTATGAAAATCCAGACAGAAGGAGGAGTACCCTTTTTAAGATAAATAGAAAGAGATAAAGAGGATGAAATCATGCCAGTTGGGGAAATTTTTTGTGCATGCTGTGCTATCAGTAGACCAAGGAGATTCATAACTAGCCAGGCCCTAAAAAATGTACAAAGTTTAAAAGGCATTAATCAAAGTTGGCATAAATATTAAAATACATCGTACATTAGCTTAGGATCGACAACAATTGTCTACTCCTTTTATCCCTTGCTGGAATCCTGAAAATTTAGGTTGTCTTTTGGGAGGGAAGGTTGTGGGTTGTTGCTTCCTTTATTGTGAATAAATCTAGCTGACAGATCTCATTATTTTCAAATCTTGTCAGTGGTTACTTAGACCCAGATTATTCACTCTGATCCTGAATACAAGCATTCCTGGGTTGTCAGTCTCTATCAATTGCAGCTTCCCCCATCAAGGTTTTTCTAACACCCCAAAGAAAATTAAAGCACATCTATTGCCGAAAGACAATGATAGAAAAAGACTTCATCTCTCTTTAAACCAAGAAGTAATCAGCAGGACTAACTCAACATTTTATCTTGGCTACAAAGACTGGAAGCAAGAGTGTAGAAAGGTATGGCCAACCAGAGAACACTATAGCAAGAGAGCTTATTTCAAATAACATGGTGCATGTGCTTACTTTGTATAGCTTGGTGTGAAAACGGAAATAATGCAAAAATAAGACAAAGAAATGCCTATGTACACAAAATAATATTCCTTAGGCCAATATACACTCTCAATAGTCTTCTCTGGGACCAATTTACACTCTGTCATGACATCTGGAGTCTAATGGTATAATGCAAATATATATATGCATGCTTAAATTAATAAATAATTTCCACATCTACAGATTTTCTTTCACTGCTTCTGTTTTCTACATTTTCTCATAAAAAGCAATCTAGCAAAAATGCATGAATAGGTTGCCAATGAACGCTACAGAAAATATTTTGGAAACGATGGCAAGCTAAAAAAATTGAAGGCAGGGGTTTGCTTATCCTTGCCAGTATTCTTATTGTTTCTCAGGGGCTGGCCAGGTTTTAATTACAAAGAAAGAAAGTCAACACCCTCCCCCCCCCCCACTACTGTTTTTTCAACACTTTCTCTGCCATATAGAGCTTCTGCAACATCTGAGCAATTATCGCAGGATGTCCATGAAAACCAAAGGATGTGATGGATTTTGTTGTGTCTATCTCATTTTGAGAGAAGAGATAGGAATAGGGGAAAAGAGATAAAGCATAAAAGAGTATCCTTGGGGGCAAAAATGATATGAATGGTTTCTCTAAAATGTAGTTGTATGTTTCTTTTGGAATGCTATCTGTTATCCAAAAGATTATTGAACTTTCTCCAAAACAAAAAGCAAGCACATATAACCATGGCCAGACTCTACTTTAAAACATACTACTCTGTGCAGCTTTTACAGTACCTAGCTTGAAAAAAACCCTAAATGAGATTTGTCTTTACAAGTAGAGGGACAGTTAATACATATTGCAACATCTCAAGTTTTTCAGCTATTGGTTGAGGAATTCTTAAGGGCTGACATTCATAGATGTTCAAGATGGGAAATGGTGTTTTAAAAAGAGACTCAGGACAGCTTAAGGATAATATCCCAGTAAGTAGAGATTCTACATCACTAGTCTTGTTGACTGAAACTTATGGGAAGGTCAAGTCAAAAAGATCAAAAGGGCTTTTCCTTGAGCTGAGAAAATAAAGGGAAAGTTCAGCAAGAGTGGCTGAAAAGAAGACTGGAAATTACAATAAGTGTTTGCCAAGCATCTACATTATTGTTCACTAGAGAAGGCTCAGAATGGAAAACGGAAATTTCTACACTTCTCTAAAACATGCTATTCCCAAATCAATAAGCTTAATATAAACAACCACTTGCATCTGGCCATATTTTTATGAGCAGGAATAAAGGTGTATGGTGCAATAAGGGGCTGTAGAAGCTCCTTAATACAAGATGGGGTAAGGTAAAGGTAAAGAAGTCCCTGCGGGTTTTGCCCCCTTAATCGTAGCTGACTTTAGAGGGTGATTCCCATCCTTGTTTCTTTAGGCCATTGAGCCAATGCTGTCCAAAGATGTTTCCAAGTCAATTGGCCAGCATGACATCATGCTGCATTGCAAAGCATATGGCAAAACATGGAATGTTTTTACCTTCTCGTAGAAATGACACCAGTTTTATAACCTTCCATTTACATGCTTTTGAACTGCTAGTTGGCAAGAGCTGAGGCAAATGGTGTTAGGACTCAGACCACCGGAGCACAGGCTAAGCCACTATGCCACTGTGCCTCTACAAGAAGACAATGTTTGAATTCCTTTAACATGCCTGCTCTAAAGAAAGCATTTGAGTGTCACTTATTTCTGACATGTTACACAGCAATACAGAAGAATAGTTTTTAAAATAGCATACAGAACATTGCCTGCTTTCCTAGTACCTGATATAAGAAAACCACTATGCGGGCAGAATAACCAGTGGGCAGAATAACCAGTGAGTTAGAAAGGGGCTGGACTCTCACATAAAATCTGTATGCAGTGCGGAAGTCCTCTGCAGATGGAGAAAATAAATGTTGAGAATTTCTCCAGGCAAGTGTTCTTGGGTTCTTCATCCTTATTTTAGGAATCACATTAGTCAAAACCACATGAAGTTATTCCACATCATTCATCCAACTCTTTCCCACTATATATAACATGTATAGTTTTATTTTATGGATGATTCATTTTCTCATATATTGTGCCATTTTTGAGGCATGCAAGAAGATCATGGGGAGATTGAACAACTGAAGGACAAGAGAAGAATTAAGGGCTTGAGTAAGAAAAATTAAATGGCAGAACTTTCAGGCAATCTGGTAAAATTCGAGCAGCACAGGTGAGGATGAACCAAAATCTGTAATGTTCAGCTCATTGGTTGTCCTCCAGCATCTGCTATATATAAAAAACCCTGTTACAGTGTTTGAATTAACCAGTGCCTAAAGCCCTTGTTGCTATTTCCCTTTCTCAAAAGACACAATTGCCTCAAGCTTCTCTTCAATAAATTCTGTGTAAACATGATGCTTGTTTTCACAAATGATTTGGTCCTCCCACCCCCCAAAAAAACTAATCTTGGCAAGAATTTTAACAGGTAGAGCAAATTAAAAGCATGCTTTTAGCATGCTTTTGGAAGGGGCATTAGTTTATTGTGGTATATTTTCAACTGTATGCAAAATAAAAGTGGGATGAAAAACTTAGCAGCTAGTTGTCAAATGCAGAAAGGAATTTGTGCCTTACAAAGTTTTTGTGCAAGGAGAAGGGAAGGGAAAGGGAAAATTGAATAGGTGTAATTTCTCTGAAGCTGTATGCTTCCCAAATACTTTTCTTCATTATCCAAAACTGTTTGCCAAAAAATCCTTATTTAAATGTCCCTAATGTGATTGTATAATGACATACAAATTCATTACCAAAAGAAAAGCCACTTTTACCCAATTTTGTGTAATTTATCCAGCTTTGCAGGCCTGTGTTAGAGAATGATTCTTGCTAAACTGCTAAGTATGAAGCAAGGGCAAAGGTTAGAAGGTTTTTCTATCGAGTTATGTCTGAAAACATGTTCTTTAGTCATGTGGCCAGCATGGCTGTATGCCAAAGGCATATGGAACACCATTACCTTCCTATCAAAATGGTCTTCCCACCAAAATGGTACCTATTAATCTATTTGCATGCTTTCAAACTGCTAGATGTGCAGAGTTGGGGCAAGGAATGGGAGGTTCACCCCACCATATGGCTTTTATGTCTTAAATGCGGCCTACCTGCTTTCCATCTGACAAACTCAGTCTGCTGAGCCATCATGCCTCTTTAGGTATAAAACAGAGGTGAGAAATGTTTGAAGGGTACCTGATATTCTGCTTGACCTCTCTAGATGGGACATGCCGTATTTTTAAAGGGAAGAAGGGACTCGCTCCTATTCCCACCTGAAAACCATTCCCAATTCTGCAAACTGCTTTGTTACTTTTGATGAATTGAAATGGTTTAATCCCAGTCAGATTAGGGAATGCAAAGGGAATGGCGTGATCCACATGTAGCCGGTGATGGGTCTGCAAGGGCAGGAAAATGAGGTCTAAGAGACATAAGCAGATTCCCAGGATTGGAATGGAATCCCAACCACTTTTCTGTATGTTTGTGACATGCATATGGTCTCAAATGCCAGAAGATTACTAATCAAAGCAGCAAGAGAGTATGACTTTGTTGCATTAATGGCCCATGGTCCACAACCCTGCCTATATCATAAACTAGATCTTTTTTGGATGGGGCTGTATAATTGATATATATATATTTAAACCTTAATGAGAAGGTTTTCTGCCTTAGTAAATTATTTGCTAAAAGCATGATTCACTGATTGTATCTTCAGCCTTTGTGTTTTACTCCATGGTAAATCTCCTTACAGGACCAGATATAAGCAGGTTATTTCTAGCCAACATGCCAATGCACAGAAAACTTGAACTTCCTAAAAAAGAGAAATAAGGGATTTTGCTCTTCTTGTTGGGTTATTAAATTCCCAAATCAATATATGACATTCCATTGTGGTTGAAAATACAAAGAAAGATCTTCAACTTAATATGCAGCCAAAACATGGTCAGAAATTATTATTAGCAATGCAACTGCCAACAGTTTTTAATCATTTATTTATTTCAATTGTTTTGAATATTTCTTGTTTTCAAAAATGTGTTTAGCATTATTTTGATCATCGGGCTCCCTGGAATTCTTTGAAAACCATACAAGAAGCATTCTTTTCTTTTCTTTTTTTAACTAAACCCAAACAATGCTGATAAAGCCATAGATGTCTTTTGGACCACTTCAGAAATTCATAATGGATATCTTTATCATCCAAAAATGTATTAATTATGCAGCTGGCTCAAACTCTGCTCCGAGAAGAACATCCATCAGCTTACAAATTGAGGAAACAGGCTTGTCACCACTCTTAATTCCGCTGGACTAGCTCCATAAAGATCCTAGTCATATGAAGCACCACTTAAGTAGCAAAATTGCAATGATTACTTAGATGATGCCCAAGTTCCTAATCAACTCTATTTTTAAGGAATAAATTCCCTCTATAGGAAATAGCCCAGAGCTATAAGAGCAAGATAATTCTCACAAAGTTCAGGGAGCCTAGTTCTTGTAGTATCGGCAGTGATTGAATTTTTTTCACCTAAATCCAAATAAATCTAGACCTTTCTATCTAATCCACTTAGAGCTACTTTTCTATGTATTCTAAAGCAGTTATTATTCATGGTGCCCTCTCATGGCCATGCCACAGCAGGAAAGGAAACCATTGTGGCACTTTGGACAATTCTGTCCTTCACAAATAATAGTATAATTGGTGGTGGGCTCCATCACTTTCTCTGCACTGTTCCCCTCAGCTTCTTTCCAAAGCTGCTTCTACCATCTTTCCTGCCCTTCAAATGTGGTTAATCCCAAGTTTTGTTTAATGTTAGGTTTCAATTCATTGAAGAATATAGTTCAACACTTTCTCATGGATTTCATGGTTCCATATGCGACTGACCTTTTTATTTTTGATGCAAAACTTATTCCTTAGGGAACTGGGGGACAGAAGCCTACAAAACCCGATTCTTTTCAATCCTGGTCAAATTCTATTGAGCATTCAGCTACAGCTATAGTTTACAACCTGTTCTAAAACAATTTTTAAAAAGGAAGTCCATCTTAGCTTCCCAATCAAGTTAAGGCAAAGTCATCAGAACATGTATACGCAGATGGTACACACATATTCTGATGACATGTAATAAATGTTACAACTTTCATAAATACATTAAAGCAGCAATGCCTATTGTTGTTTTTCATTTCCTTGCTCAAAGATTATGTCCTAAAACATGAATTCCTGCTAACTAAAAACTTCTTTCTCTTACCTTTCTGGTTAGTGGAACTTCAATAGGAACAGGAACAACTTCTGCAAGAAGGCAGCCATAAAAGGCTACCATAAAAGCTGCAGGATCATTGTTGGGAAAAACAAGGGCTACCTGTAAATACACACACACATATATATATATGTGTGTGTGTGTGTGAGAGGAGAAAAATAAATAAATAATAAAACCAGTAAATGTAAATACATTTCCCAGAATATATTACAGTACTGCAAATAGGCAGCTTACCAACTAAAGCAATAGATAGAGGACTGTGCACAGAAGTAACTCATGTGTCTTTCTTGTTTCTTAGACTCTGCTATCAAGCAACTGATATCATTCTATGCTTCAGAATAGCTAGGGCTTCTATCATTTGTGCTCCAGAGGCTATGATCTTTGAGTAAACAACTTCTATGTGTCCATCCTGGAAGGAAGTCTGACTGGTAGTTACCACGAACAGGGCATTCTCAGCGATGGCCCTCAGTGCTATAGAATTCCTTCTCTTGCTGGGTTCCCCCAGCTAACTAAATTCAATTTAAGGATTTTTTTTTTTTAAACGGTATTTCATTCTTTCCCCTGAATTTTCATAATGACACCAAAGGCTTTTTTGGATTGGATTTATGACCTACAAGATTTCATTTTCATTTTTTTCATTTTATTTGGATTTATAGGCCGCCCTTTTCCCTGAGGGGACTCAGGGCGGCTTACAATCATTAGGGAGGGGATGCAATTCAAAACAAACAATATGTGAACAAAATAAATAAAATAGTAAAAACACAACTTGCATTCAACATTCAGCACTCGGGTGGGGCAAATTAGAGACTTATCCCCAAGCCTGTTGGGATAGCCAGGTCTTAAGGGCTGCGCGGAAGGCCTGGACGGTGGTGAGGGTGCGTATCTCGACGGGGAGATCGTTCCACAGGGTCGGAGCTGCAACAGAAAAGGCTCTCCTCCGTGTAGTCGCCAGTCGACATTGACTGGCGGATGGAATTCGGAGGAGGCCCAGTCTGTGCGATCTTATCGGTCGGAGGGAGGTAATCGGCAGAAGGCGGTCTCTCAAGTACTCAGATCCACTACCATGAAGGGCTTTAAAGGTGGTCAACAAGACCCTGAAGCGCACCCGGAGATCAACAGGTAGCCAGTGCAGCTCGCGGAGGATGGGTGTTATGTGGGCGAACCGCGGTGCACCCACTATCACTCGCGCGGCCGCATTCTGAACTAACTGCAGCCGCCGGATGCACTTCAAGGGCAGCCCCATGTAGAGCACATTGCAGTATTCCAGCCTAGAGAGTATTCCAACTCTGTTAATCTGCATCTTTATCCAGTATTTAATGTTTTGGTATTGAAGTTACTTGCTACTTTCATCTCTATACTTATTATTAACTCCTTCTTATTGATTGGATACTAATTTATTGATGCAGGTTGGATTTTTCTTTTTGGTAATATGTGATATACGAATGTGATAAATAAATCAGTAAACTGTAGTTCAACAACATTAGCATTATTTGTCTATCCCTTTACAACTTGAGAGACCAATAATGGTAACCAAAGGAATGGGATCTTAGGAGACCAAATTGCTTCTAGCGGGAATGATCCTTTAAAGATCTTTTAATAGTTTTTATGACACCTGCTCTAGGTGGTCGTACTTAAAATTAATTGGAACTTAAAATGAAATATATGTAAATCTTTATTTCAAACCTATTTTTACTGAGAAACTGAAAGAGACATAAATTGACTTTTAAGTCAGCCTAACTATAATCCATTTCAGTTTGACCTTATACGCATCTTCCATTTTGATCACTTTTCAGATGACACATGTCTAATGGAAAACTACTATCACTAGATGATGCCCTTAAGGTTTTTTTTTTTTTTGTTAATTTTTAATATTTGCTCAAAATCATGCTTTTATTTGGGCTCATACTGAAGGGGCTGTGTTTCCCTGGTTGCAAATCTGTTTTTTCTCTATTCACCATTAAAAGACGAGAAAGAAACATCGTATCTTATTTTTCTGGTTCCTTTTGATGACTTTCAAACTGCATTTCTACATATTCCTCCTCTTTTTTGACATTCAATTTCATTTCACATGACAATAACAAAGCTTAAAAGCGAAAGAAGATAAAACCTTGCACAGTCATGCTTTCATAGTCCTTCAGGAGAGAAATGGCCTTCTTTGGAATAATCAGTCTCAAATAACGATGAACCTGATAGAGCTATTTTCTGCAATCAATTTTCTGGAGAACTGAGCTGCAAGATCTTTCTTTTGAGGTCATGGCTAAATGCTACTCATTAAATTGTCATTCTAATTCTGAGGCTGCTGTCATCTACTGCTTTCTTGCTATTCCCAACCCATGTGAAGGTTCATACGAAGCATGGATCTTCATCTGTTACTTTAGTTATTGAACTACTGTGGCAGCTTTTGAAGAGAAAGCACACAAGGCGCAGAGAAAGAAAATGTCAATTTCATAACTTTCCTTGATTTATTTATTCATTCTGTATGCTTCCCATTGTGGATATGGTTTGGAGTCTTAAGAACTATCATAAATCAAGAAGATTCTGTAGATACACTTTGGCCAAATGCCAAAACAGACAATGATTTAAATTCAACACCTGCCCACAGTCTTTTTAGTTTAATTTTTCACCATCACTTATGAAAATAAAGAAAGAAAGAAATCATTTCTGTAGGGCCTGAAATGACATAAGGAGTGCTCTGAAGTTGAACAGCTTAAGACAAGAAAGGGGATGAGGGAAATTTTATTAGTGAAGGAAAGGCAGAGAAGATCAAGAGGCAATTAGGAAGAGGTTAAACCAGAGAATATATACAAGAATCCACTAATTTAATGTAAGCTATTTCTTTTCATTCATTTGGGAGATTCACTTGCCACCATTTAGGGAAGCACTCCCTGAAGTATAGTTTAAAAGTTTTAAATTTGTTTCTGTGGAGTTTCATTAACATTCTCTGGTATTAACGATCGACCCAGCTTCCTTTACACAAGTGGAAATGTAGATTATTTTGAATTTTTTTTTTAAAAAAAAGTCTCTTCAGTTTTATGTTTCATTCCTTCTCACATTGTTCAGATTGTAGCTCCTTTCCATTTTTCAGAAAAGAGAGGCTGTAAAAATGAAGCATCTTTTGCAAGAGAAGCTATCATTTTCATAATAGAATTTTTCAATGCCAAGTAATAATGAGTAATTCTTATGCAAATTCAGCTGAAGAAGGAGCCGTAGAAAGGTTGAGACTACTTGAAAACTGAGCCACCAGACTTGACAAATTCCAGGAGGACATATTTGAACATAGGGAATTGCACACAATGTGAACAGGGTAACTCCCTAGAACACTGAGGGGAAAAAACACACACAAAATTCCCAGAAGCACAAAAACAGAATAGAGAAACATTATTTCTGTCAGAATAGAGAAACATTATTTCTCTTCTGTATTTCTTGACAGATCAAGGCTCTCCCCATCCCCCACCCCCTCTTTGTGGTAAATAGCAGCATTGACTTTCTGACTGTGGATTCAATTTTAATGCTGATGAGAAGAAATAGCAGCTTCATGGGGGGAAAGAAGCCACAAGGCATGTAAATAAAAAACAGAAAGTAATTCATGAAGTATTGCCATCTCCGTGATTTGGATGAACAAGAAAGGCATCCAAACAAACCCAAACAAAATACCAGAAATGAAGTGCGAAAAAATAAAACCACAAAACAGATAGAGAGAAAAGAGATGGCTGAAAACACAAAGATATATGTTTGGCAATGAAATTGGGAAGGATGTTGAAAATTCTTCTTTAACCCAATGGAGACCAGGGAGACAGTTAAGTGCTTGTGAAAAGATAGAATAAGGAACAGGGTCTCTATAATACAACATGGAGGCATATCTCGAGAAAGGACGTGGATGGAGGCGTATCTCTTGAGGGAAGTATGTAGATGGAGACCTAACTGGAGGGAAATGCGTAAATGAGGCATATCTCTTGAGATAAATACGTAGATGGAGTTGGTCTTTACAAACATTTAGAGGTGATAAACAACAATATATTTCACTGGACATGCAATTGTTCAAAATTCTTTTATCTTAGAGATAAAGGCGCGCCCCTCTCCTTGGGATGAAACCACAGAAGAAAATTACCACATACTCAAAAACATATCAATACCAGTTTATGGAAGCCTGCCCCTACTTTAAGCAAATATGTTCTAATGCCAACAGTTACTGCTTTCAAATGAGAATATTTTTAACTGATTACACTGAACATCTTATTAATTAGCTAGCAGTATTCCCTTGTTCAAGCCTGACCTTTTCACAAAAACTCTTTTGTTTCTAGAATTTCCCAAAATATATACAGGCACACAGTCTCATTTCCAAAACTGATTTCATCTCCATGACAAGCATGTTTTAATGCTCTTTGTATAAGGAAGCCATTGTGACAAGTACAGCCTTTGTTTTGAAAGAGACACATACAATTTTTAGGCTATTATAAATGAAGCTCTTTTCGCCTAATAACTATTTTTTTAAAAATCTGAAATGCACATTAGGGTGAAATTGTTTGAAACTCAGGTGTAAACACTGTTATCTCAAGTCTCCAAGTGATCATTGAAAGTTGCTACAGCTCCTTTGAAGATTGTTGTGAAATTGTAATACCGAATGCGAGGAATGAAAAATTATTAAACATATGGGGAAAAAATCATATTCACAGTATTTAATTCATTTAATTTCAGTACACTAAGGTAAACTTAGTATGGCCTTTCCTCCCCTTTTTGGGAATGCAACCATGACATATGATCAAAAGACCTAGTGTAAGGTGACCAGATTTTAACATTGGTAAAGCGGGACACCATTGACTGGGGGGGGGTGTCTTGATTGAAAATTTGGTCTATATGGTCCATGGTCCATACACACCACACCCAAATACGCCTACGGTCCTCGGCTTTAGCACAACAGAAGCCCTTAGGTTTTTACCTACACAACCCCCTACATTTTAAGTTGGATTGGGTTTTTTTTACAGGAACCCTGTAAAAAGTCAGACTATATTCTGGTTAAAAGGGCGCCACAAGAAAATGTGAAAATGGACTAAGTCCTATGTTGGTTAATTCATAGCCTACTTCAAGGCGGTGGCAAACCAGTCTCCCCTCTTTCCTTCTACCCACCCACTTTTCACCCCCCACCACTTCGACGAAGCTCTAACCTGATAAAAGGAGCCGAGGTGGCGCAGTGGTTAAATGCAGCACTGCAGGCTACTTCAGCTGACTGCAGTTCTGCAGTTCGGCTGTTCAAATCTCACCAGCTCAGG